TCTCAGTTTTTTGCAGTGCATAGCCACTGAGAGGCTCATAGACGTGGCCACCACGGCTTGGCAGGCAAATGTCAAATATTTGTTGAACTGTGATTAATGTTGATTCTGGCACGCTCATTGCTTTTGCATAACATTTTTCTTTCCTTTGTGGCTTGGGCTTAGCATCGGCTTAGCACAGTTCACTTGTAAAAAGGACGCTTTCCCCAACTGACGCAATCACCAGTGGTGATTGCTTATAATACAAAAAAAAAATCATCTGCTGTTCTACTTTGCTATTCTTTTTCTTTTTCGATAGACAATTAATTAAAATTGTCTAAAAAATTGGCTTCATATAGATTCCTTTACAGTTTAGCTCAGTTTGTTGTGCTAACAATTTGACGCTCAATAAAACAAAAGTACCAGTACAGGAACAACAATGGTTGTACTCCCATCCTCCTCTCCATTCCAAGTGCCCTCTACAGTCGAGGTAGGGGTAAATGCTTTGGCAATACTCGCTGGTCACGTTGTGTCAATAGACAGCTGAAATGCACTTGCCGCACGAAAACTGTTGCAGTCCCTTCTCCATCACCCCTCCCTCAAAATTGTCCTTTATTTTATTTTGTATACAGTGTGCACGAAAGTTTAAAGAGTATGTTAGAAAGCTCTACAGCCAAATGTATATAACAGGCGAAAGAATCGTCGGCAGACCACATATTATAGGTACCTATACGTATATGATCAGCAAAGCGGTAGAGACGTGTCCATCCTCGTCCGTCTGCTTGTTTCTCTCTGTTCGACTGTATGAACGTCGACAACTTTTGAACCTTAGCACTTAGGGAAGCCAACTTTTGTATGTAGACTTGTCTTATCCATACGCAACCAAAAGCAGCGTCCTTATTATAGAAGAACTTTGTTGTGATATCCCAGTGCCCCATCACAGCCACAAGTTTAATCAAAATCAGTGCACTTTATCATACAGCTGCAATAGAATTGATTGATATTAGTTGAATGACTGTGGCGGGGAAAAAGGCGGGCTTAGGGTACTCAAAGTTCTGCTCAAAGTCTAACTCGTTTTATTTGTACACGCTGCTGAAACAATTGGCGCAACATTTTGTTGCGTTTTCACACGCACGTTCACTGAACACAAACAGCGTTTGATGGCACTTTGGCAAACGAGGCGCATCGATTCCCTTAACAGAGTGACAAGTAATAAATGTGCACTGCATAAGGAGCTAACCGATAGTTTTCCGAATCAAGCATACAGCAGACCATTTATTTTTGTCTGCTTGAAGGACACAGCTCCGCCATCCCGCCCAGTCAAATGAAAATGCTTTCAACCAAGTGCACATTTAATTTGGAACAAAAGATATATAATAAACGAATTTGCGAAGCCCAATCATATGCTTATTTAATTCAGTAGCTTTAAACAATGGACAACTGATATTGCAAATAATTGCATCCGTCTTCACCACACATTTTCACGGATGAAGCTTTAATAATGGGGAAAATACTTGTATTGCATTCTTAAATTAAGAGAGCTGTGGCTTTAGTACAATTTACATACAATATAGTAAGTTTAATTTTAATGGAAAATAAATTGTGCATTTCAACGTAAAGCTTTTTATTAAACATAGTAGCAGAACTCTTTCTTTAAGGACCGTGCTGTGCTAATATTACAAATGAAATGTATACACAATGAGCTTCGGCCTTAGCATAATAATTGCTTTAATTTTAAATATTTATTATTGCTTCGTAGACGCAAATGCTCGCTGCTTCGATAATTCATTATTAATTAAGCAGAATATTAATGGATATATTTTGTAAGTTGTAAAATTGTTGTTAGTCAAAATGAAGATAGTGATGATTCAAATCCATAGCCTCTCAGCGCCAACACTAAGCAGCTCCTGTCTGTCGGCTGTCGCAACCAACTTCAAGGAGCCCTTTTCTACTTCGAGTGCGCAAACATCTATGTGTAATTAAATCGTGAAGTATTTGGCCATTTGTCTGTTGTGTTCGCCATTGAAGACTAATAAAGTGCTTTGTTTTGGGCAATTATTTTGGGCCCGGTTGTTGTCCATTCTTCAGAAGCGCCCCCATCTCTATCACACCTGGCCGCTTTTAGTTTGCGTTGTAAATTGCCTTCAATATGAAACCTATTTTTTTCATACACTTTTGAAGCCAAATTCTATAATTTACATAAACTTTATCAACAAAAGAGCGACTTAACAGCTATTGCTATTAGCTTCTTGAAGTCATCAACACATTTCACGTTAACCTTATGAATTTCAGTTTAAATAAACGATTTCTGCTCAATTGCTAACATTATTGTTATACAACTATATGGATTGGCGCACAAATCAAAAATTCATAAACGCCATTATGGCATGCTGATGTGTCACAAAGGCACATCAAATCAACAACCCAAACGAAGAAGGGAAATAAAGAAAGAAAGAAAGAAAAGAAAATGTCTAATCACATCAGCTGCTCTGCCCCCACACTTCGGCTCCCACTTGCCGTAGCTGATTGTTTCCGTTGTTATACCAAACGAAATACGCTTCAAATTCAATTTTGTAGAAAATTGTAGCTCTACCTGCACACACACAGGCACAGACACAGACACACACTTACAGGGGCATGGGCCTAACGTTTTTCAATTTATTTCGTCTGTCAAAATAATGAAGCAGCTGTCCAGGCGAAGCTCAAATCAAGCCAACAACTTTGCACAAATGAGTCCAAAGAAAATGTGAGAATCGACAGGCGGCAAAGCGGCAAGCGTCAGAGCGGCAGAACGGCTGCCAAAAGGTCAAAAAGGTACAGAACTTAAATCGCTTGGCCCCACATCAATGGCAATACAAAATCGAATATTTTTGCTGGCTTTTTTTGTTCCTTTCTGTGCGTCGAAGGACAGACAGACAACGAGCGAGATCGAGAGTAAGCGTGAGAGTTGAGGATGTCAGGCAGGCAGGCAAGTAGGCAGACAGGCAGTCAGAACTAAAAGGGCACTTTTATGCCTAAGCTTGTCGTGGCAATGAGGATGCTGATGAGGTCCACATTATTGATTGAAGCTTGACAGCCCCACACACACATGATGGCCTTATCTGTGCGCATTTATCGAGTTTAATGCTTTGATTAAACATGATTGAATTGTCTAGCAGAGGCATACTTGTAGTCTCGTAAATGTCAGGTCCAAGCATGTATTAATAATTTGATGTACAAGTTAATTTATAAATATAAATCCCTACTCTCTAGCTACTCTTATATCTGTCTTGACATTCGCATTAGTTCGGAAACTTAAGGTGTTACTTAAGTGGCCCTCTGCTTTGTCTACAAGAGAACAAACAATGTTAATTGCTGGAACATTTAATTTATTTGGCTTTAACAAACCAGCCAACTAATGTCTGTCAGCCTGTTTGCCTCTTATTTGCCGTTAAACAATAGACACAGTGGGTGGGTGAAGGACAGGGAGCAGCGTAGAGAGCTGGAAAAACAAAAGCGCAATTTTCAAGTGTGCAAAAGACAAAAAGAGAAACTCAAAACAACATTAAATGGCCAACAATGCACACACAATTTAAAGCGAGAGATTTATAGTTAAATACATAATATGGTACAGGGAACACTGGTTGATACAGACGTTAGCAAGAACTATTATTTTAATTAATATAATGATAAATATAAATATACGAGTATGTTCGACATAAAGCTCAAGAAATATATGAAAAGGCAGGAAATATATCAAGTTCCCACTTCATAATCGAAAGCACTTAAGTTTCAATACAAAAACTGTAGAATTTCTAGTACCACAGCCACAAAAATGTTACAGAAATACAGCTATTTTAAATATTTCTTTGTATAATTAAAGAATTTATGAGCAAATTATTTGCCATGAGTGAATTAGTACTGAGTGAAAACAGACTGTTTCGAAAAAATCGAAATATCACCGTCTGTCAATTATTCAGTGTCAATTAAAATACAATAATAACAACAAAAAATCACAAAAATTAAATGAAGATTGAAATTAATTTAATTATGTGTATGGACATCAACTCTTTAAATAACTAATTGATAAATCATGTCGACAAAAAAACAGCTCATATATCCCACAAATCGACCATTTGCTTAACGTCCACTGTGTTGTAAATGCAAAATATATATTTTTTTACACTAGTTAATTAAATGATGGTGAATTATAATAGAGATATGACTTTGTTTTCCTTAATTGAAAAAAAGGGTTCTTTTGTAACACAATTTCAACATATATATATAGTATATTCTTAATCAGCATAGATAGTATTCCAATGTCCATTGTCCATCTGTATGAATGCAAGGATCTTTAAAACAGTAAGAGCTGGGACAAACAAACTCTGTGTGCATCTTTTCCTAAGTAGGCGCTTCCTTTAAATAAATTAGACTCCTACTTGGTTCTTCAACATACTTACTAAGTAAGTGTGTTTGAAGCTTCTTTGCAGAGTTAAACCGTCGAATTGTTTAGAGATTGTTGGATTGTTTTTTTCTTTTTTACAAAGAGCTAGTAATATGTGAATAAAATTTAAATATTTTGCTAAACTTTGCATATTGCTGATGTTTGTACAGTAATAAAATGACAGGAACTACAAAAATTCTCTGCCTTTTGTTTGGTCTTAAATAAAATTTTCGAGTTCACAGATATTCTGAATTCGGCAATTAATATTTAAGATAAGAATTATGAATTGATAGCTTAGGAAATTTACGATAATTAAAATAAATTCGCAAGTGTTCCATTACATGTTTGGGAAATTAAAATATTTAATTAGTAAGCTTTAAAGAGAAATTCACAAATATGTACTATGTATGTAAACAACTAGTTTTGGAATTTAGGAATTTTGTGAATATATGTATGTATTTATTTTCAGTCAAGCAGTACTGACTTCCCTAACCAGATTTCTAATGGGCCTGCTAAGGCGACCATTTCAGCACTTTATAGGCGTTTTCACGTTTAATTTAAAGCCTCTCACTAACACCCCTCACTTATCTTACCTTTGCAGATCTCCAGCAATTTTCTGCCATCGTTTGAAGCCATTTCCTTCGCCGTACAGAGCATTGCCAGCAAGTTGAATTGGACCCAGGTTGACATCTATGTGGGTGGTAAGTGTGCTTTTGGCATTTCGTTTATTTTTTTCGGGACTTTTTTTGTGCTTGGTTCATTTTCGATTTAATAGCTGATAATTTTAATAGCTGTTGTCATTGGCAGAACGGTCTGCGCTTTAGCGACAGACGGCATTAATATGCAGAAGGCGCTACCAGGTCAGGTAAAAAAAAAAGCAATCAAGCTCAGTCAATGGCAGTTGTCTGCAGTTGCCAAAATTGAAATTGAAAATAATTGCAGCCATAAACATGGCAGCCCTTAACCTTACCTGAAACGGAACTGCCCAAGCAGCCCAGCTATCAAGCTACAAATCCGCTAACAATGCAAATGCACCCCAGGAGCTGGGGGCTGGCTTTAAATGGTCTGCAAATGGCTTGCATTTTTATGCTGACTGCTGTTACTTTTGTTGTCTACTACAAGTCGACAGACTAAGGCCAAGAAGCAGCGGCAATATCAGCCAACAATAGACGCCCTAAGCTATGCACTCGACTTGCAAATTTGCCTCCCTGCTTGTAATTACTACAACAATTGCAATTGTTGGGCATTAACAAACAGACACACACATACAAACACAAGCACAAGTGTTTCATCTGCACATACTTGCCCACAGCTGAGTATAAAGGCAAACTTTAATCATCATTATTAAGAAGAACAACAGCAGCAGCCGCTGCAGTATCTGAACAACAAGATGACAGTCCAGCATCCCCCATTCATGGCGTCCGTTCAGACTAGGGCGGAGCGTGATAAAATGTTCTTGAAATTCGTGTAACATTCACGACCTTGCCAAAATTCCAAAACTCATTCGTTTACAAAAATTCATTAAATCGAGTCTAACCGCCACATTTAAAATTAAATAATTAAAAGAAAAATATGTCAATGCGATAATTATTTTCGTGTCGTGAATATGCGTGATTCTGTCGACATTTTGAATGACTCGCCCAGCTCTAGTTGAGAGAGCCATGTTATGACCATGTTATAGCTAAGGCAGCCGCATAAATGTTAAATAAACACATACTAAAGCACCCGATGGGGCCAACGGCGGACTCGCGCTGGGTAATGCCAAATTATGGGCCAGGCATTAAGACAACAGCCGCCGAGCCACCCAGGCTCCTGCCGTTCATGTCTAGGCTAAGCACACGTGTGCGTATACGCAATGCAATTAGTGGTGACATTATTATGACAAACGTTAAGCACAACACTGCACAATGGGATACAAGTGCAACTCTTTCAGGGAAAAGTTCATGGAATACAAGTATTTCTTAAAGCAGACCTTTTCAAATACATAGTTCGATTATAATTTGAAAAGCATTTCAAATAAATGATATGATATTTTCTAAGCTCTTTTTTACTGAACATTTTCTAATTATATTACAATTACAAAAAAATCAAAAATATACAGTTCTTTGTACTTTTAGAAAAATGTAGAATGTTTTATTTAGTTTTAGGATTCAGGAGTGGTTGAAAATAATGCAGTAACAAATGCTTTTGAGCTTCTTCATTACTTTCCTTTATTTAAATTCTGAGCTATAATTTTGCTCGTTTTTAATTCTGTGTGATCAGCAGCCCATGAGCACTTTTTGTGATCCCTGGTTTATTATATTTATATAGACTTTTCTTCCTATTACTCCATTAAGAAGCAAAGTGCCGATATATTTTGTATTGTATTGTGTTGTATACACATTATACACGGATTGCTCGTAAGCTTGAACATATGAGCAGCTCAATGAGCACTTTCTGCGAGCCCTCTTAGTATATATAGATTTTTAATCCTATTACTTCATTGAGGAGCAAAGCAATTAAATGGAAGTTCCTCAATTCCTACTAAAAACTTCACAACAATTACACATGCAATGAGTCAGTAAATTAATAATGAATATTAAAAGAAACAAAAATAACACAAAAGTACGAGCAACCACCACATTAAATTTTTTTATATTCCTCAGGTTACTCATGAACGAACAAAAAATTAAATTACAGTCCAACCAGTTTCAAAAATTACAACATATTGTCTCGCATTACAGTTTTATTATCAGCGGTCCCAACAAATCCCAACATATTTCATACTGGATTCGCAATCATAAATCCATTCAGTTTCTACTTTTGCCCAAAAAATATCCCCCGCATCCCACAGTGCGTTTGTGTGTGGGTGTGTTTGTCTGCATAAGTGCTGACAGTAAGCTGAGAGTAAGCAAACAGGCAGATAACAAGCTACACAGAGAGTGAGAATCATTTACATTTGCTGGAAATTTAATTAAGCGAGAAAAGTTAATCATACACCATGCATGCGGCCACAATTAGCAGAAGTTCAAATCTGTGCCTCCGGCCTTACATTTGCATGTGGATCAAAAATATTATGCGCAGCCATTTGCTAATTAATTTAAGCATCATAGACGACCACCGACCACGCCCACAAATAAAGAGCAAAAAGTTGTCGTCATTGTCGCCATTGCTGCTGCCGCAATCAATTAAAGATTAATCAACAAGATAAACATGGCGGCCAACACTGCTTACATATGTGTAATCAAAATACGGAAAGCCAGAGTGTTGGTTAGCCGATAATAAAATGCTCTCGCTAATTCCCAATCGAATAGGAATTATGGTGCAATTAATATTATTTTTCGTTTACTTCACAGATGCTTAAATCCAGCATTTGTAAATCGGTATTGACTGCTTTATCAGCATTAATTATCTATAAAAATTCTAATAGAGGGAGCATTATAAAGATTAGTTGTATTTTTTTTTTTAATTTTTGCTTGACTAACTTTTTCTCATTAAATTTATTTTAATTTTCTGTTTATATTGAAAATTTTTGTTTCGAAATAATTTCTTCTATCCCCAATTAATTTTATGATATAGCTGTTTTGAAGTTTATTCTTGTTTTCTTTACTTTTAGTAACCATTATTTTAACTATTTATAATATTTTTCTGCAATATAGTATCAAATAATTGCATTTCAATCCAGCTAAAGAACAACTGCCACTCTTGAATTATTACTATATAACAAGATTAATTAAATAACATTATACAAGTTTTTCTGCAGTCTTCCAGATGCATTGCTTCTCCCTATTATGCCATTCCCAAACATATATTCCCCTTGAGTGTGCAAACTTCGCAGCAAAACCGTAATATCCTGTGCTCTGTAGGGCTGACAGCTTTCAGTCGTCGCGTCTACGATGTCGTTACTAATTAAGCAGCTGAGCTCTTGGTAATAAAGTAAAATTTTTATAGCATACGACAAGGCGAAAAGCAGACACACACACCCATGAATGGCAACGTTTTTATACCGTTTATTAGGTTAACTGAGCGACTAACTAACTGATGACTAGCAGCCATCACGTTGTTGGCGCATGTTCTTTAAAATTCAACAGCCCATTCCCATTCCCAATGACAATGACAACAAATTGGCTGAATAAGCTGTCGAAGTCATGTTAAGTTGTGTGTAAACAAGTTTGTTGCAAGTTGTCGAAAGTTTGTTGACCCCGAACAGCTTTAACCGCACAGCCAGAGCCAGAGCAAAACAAGTTGAAAATTATGTGACAGCAGTTGAAAAATGTATAAAAACAAAGTTATAAAATAAGACAAGCAAAACAACAAAAGACAACACGCCAAGAGCCCTCACACACGCAAGCCAACCAAAATAGCTAAGATATGTGGTGGAAGCGAACAGAATGTATATGGAAATGTATAGTAAATGTAAATGTGCTTGCCAGCCAAGTGCCAGGCAAGTGAGTATTTGCAAGAACTATAACAGTAACTGAAGCAACTACAACCCATAACTACAAAGACTACAAAGTCTTTGTCACGACCGTGCCCAAGACCCCAAACACGTAACGTCAGAATCAAAGCTAACCAAAAAAAAAAACAGAAAAAAAAAGAATACAGCAAGAAACAAAAATTGAGAGCTCATAACTATATGATGGGCCATTGTCAGAGAGCAGTTAAACGCGCAGGCAATCAATGGACAGACGCACAAGCACAGTCAAGCACAGTCATGCACGGCCATGCACAGCCATGCACGGCCATGCATTGCACCGGCGGGCAAACAGAACAAGCAAGCAAACGGAACAATGGCGAGTCCTGGGCGCAAAGGCGCAGCACGCACAACCATATGTGCGGGGCACTGACACACAACTATACATTTCAAGCTACAGTGCGTACTCGACAAAGGGCCACTAATTAGTGAAAGCAAAGTTTAGGGTTTAGGTAATCCGAAACAAATATTTTAAATGTATGTAGATATGCCAATTTATTTGGTATCTCTTTTTTAAATAACTTTTTAAATACGCAGTTGCTCTGTTATCCTGTTTTAGATTACCTAAGCATCTGCATATTTAAAAAGTTATTTTAAAAAAAGAGATACCCAATAAATCGACATATCTACATTTAAGAACTATCTGTTGGTGCCTCAAATGAGCTTCATTCGATGTAGATAGTTTTTAATTTATTCAGCTTTCAATTCCAAACATAAATGCCCCAGTCTGGCGTTGGAACAAACCCCAACAATACTGATCAAATCATTTGATCATTCTTGAAATGATCGGTTCAGTTAACACCAAATAAAGTAATTTCAATAGCTCCAAAAGCAATTGCTAGCATATTCAAAAATAAATACAACGTGGCTTTCGAAAACCAGTTTTGGTTTAAAAGTGCTTCACAGACAAATCTCCAAAGTATTCGAGAGATCGAACCATACAGTTCAGTGCATCTGTTTCTATATTATAATGGTTTCTAAAACCAGTTTAAAGGGAAAAGGTATTTAGTTTCTCATAAGTTTTCTATAAGCACTGTAGCATGGAGTTATGTGATCTTGTGCGGCAGTTAAGCTTCAAAATGATATAAAGCTGCTTGAAATTTGATAGAAATTACAAAAAAGAAATCAGTTGTTGGTTTAATAATCTCGTAGTATGCCAAGACGACTCTCTATGCAGGCTGGCGTGAATGCAAAAATGGATGCAGTTGTCATTGCATTATTGTTAAAAATTTGAGGTTAATGCAGCTC